AGTGCTGCAGGAGGACACACAGGGATTTATGGGGGTTGGATGAGGACAACGAAATAAAGAAAGTAAATCTTTGTTTTGTGATCAGTTTAATTTGACATGCGACAAACACGCTTTCTTGACAATCTTTGTGAGTAAAAAAACTTGTAGAAATTAAAGCGAACAACGTGTGTTATTAGGGAAATAGCGGGCGAGCGGTGTTGATGCAGGATTGCGCATGCGCCGTGAGCGGTTCTGATACTTTTTGGGTCGCAGCTGCTCGCAGCACCGCTTCAACAGTGCGATACCCTCACGAGGGACGAGCGAAATATTAAACACGCCAGAAGTCCGTGCGAGCTCACGATTGCTGTGTCACGTGGTGTTAATCACCTCTCGTAACCCCCTAGTATACTACACGACACTCGGCGCAAAACTCGCCCCGATCTCGTGGATTCTCGCACGAGTGGAAAATCGGCTCAAAAAAGTGAAAAAGTCGCACAGTGTACGCCCGGCTTAAGGTTCCTTCACTTCAGCTGCACCGAAAATGTGGAATTCAGAGCGCGAGTCCAAATAATCAAAACCGATGCTGAATCAGAAAAACTGCTCCAAATTAGTTTGACTCTTACTGTGAAAACTTTATCTGACCAAACCGACTTCCGGTTTGACATAGAAGGTCTAACAAAAAACAAATTAAGTTGCCACTGAGTTTTACAGTAACTTTTGAGAGCTAATGACTTAAAAACTTTGAGAGTGACAGTGTTGCTAGGTGAGATGGAAAGGCCTAGCAGGATTTGCTTAAGGCGTCCTTTTGTTCTTTGCTCTGCCGTCACGAGGTTGAAACCTGGCCTTTGTAACTTTCCTTGGTCACGCCCACATGTATGTCATTCATTAACCACTAGATGGCACTATGGCTCTTTCAAATAACTCTACCTTTCCAATAATGAAAGGTCCATAATCACAATTTACCAAAGTTATCCATATAAGGCCTCAAAAAGTATTACTTTAAACACAAAAGAACTGAATTCATGTCTTAAGCTTGACTGTATTGCTGTTAGCATAAATTTTAACTGGTGAAACAAAAATGGCAGAGGTTTAACGTAAAAGAAAAAAAAACACAAAAGAAGCAGTTATGTTTGTAACTGATACGAGTTTAAACATTTACTTTGTTTTTTCTATTAAACAACCTAAAACACATTTTGACTGTGGATAAACAGAAACACCAGGGTTTTCATGAAGACTAAATTCTGGAACCTTCCAGAACACGCCCTGAGAGGTTTTACGAGCACCCGCTCAGGCTTAGGTGAGAGTCAGGTCTTGGCAGGTTGACTTAGAACAGACCAGTTTCTGATATTGTCCTGCCTCTCCGATTGGTAAAGGAGGGGAAAAAAATCACTTGGTAACATTTATGTCCCTGGGAGAAAGTAGGAGTTAGTCAGATGTGCTGGAAAGGGAATTGTGGAATTTATGTGACTACAGCCAGTTTCAAATTTTCCCCTTTTATGCAGTGTAAGGGAAAGAAAAGCTTTGTGTGTAAAAGCCGTTTTGTTGTCCTTCTTCTTGTGAATCCAACGAAAGTTAATCTGAGGATATGAAATGTGGATTTCCGCTACATATATATCTTAGTCTTTGATTTCAAATGAAATACATGCACTTTATAGTTCATTGGGATATCTTTAAAATGTATTCTGGGAGATGTTTAATTCATAGCCAGAAATAAATGCTGATCTAAATGCTGACTGCCACTCAACCGCTATGCCGATGATGACACTGTTTCTCAATGACCTAGTAGCTAATTCACTTCTTAAAATAATTCCAGGTTATATGTTGTGTGTTGCTTGTTTTAAAAACCTTTAACAACTTAGTTGAAGAAAAAAAGAAATATTGGTCATTGACAGAAAAAGTTTACTGCATAGCTGAGTCGAGTTTAGAAGTTCACATTAAAAATGTAGCATCTCATCATATAAAGAAAACTGAATTGGAGTTTCCATCTTGGTTCAAGGCAGTTATGTTTTTATCTTTATGCTTTCAGTCCTTGTAGAATCAACTACTTTCAATTTTCTGCTTTCTGGTTTCATAAAGAAAAGTCACAACTGCTTTCAAACGCTGCAGCACTAGAAAGACCTAGTGTACTTCATTACTTCTTTTAGGCTTTTTTTTCCTCTTTCTTTGTTTTTTAGCTCATGATTTTCATTCATAAAACTAAATGAAACCAGATTATCTGATTTCTTTAGGTCTCATCTGCTATTATATCAAACCTCTTTCCCGTGACTGCCTGGTTCTGGTATATTCTCTTTGAGATATCCAGAATGTTTAGACACACAGTCACTATAGTGTACCTCTGGAAATGCTGCCATTGGCTGTGAAGCCACTTCATAATAATTCTTAAAACTCATTCATGTTGAGTCTTCAGCAGAGCTTCAAAAGCCATGTCCTTTCCAGCAGCACAATATCACAATAGAATGACTCTACTGTGATAAATGGAAGGCCAAGATGTGCTGGAATGAAATTATGTCCCCAGAGTTTTATCTAAACTCAGTTTATGTTTTGGCTAACATGGTTATAATGAGCAAATACAGCAGGAGCTCAGGAGGTTGAGCAGGTTGTCCAGTAATCAGAAGGTTGCAGGTTTGATTCCGGCTCCGGACAGACAATGCTGCTGTTGTGTCTTTGTGCAAGATACTTAACCCACCTTGCCTGCTGGTGGTGGTCGGACAGACAGGTGGTGCTTGTGCTCTGCAGCCTCACCTCTGTCAGTGCGCCCCAGGGCAGCTGTGGCTACATCGTAGCTCATCACCACCAGTGTGTGAATGAGTGAATGATACACTGTAATGTAAAGAGCTTTTGAGTCCTCTGACTCTAAAAGGCGCTATACAAGTGCGGGTCATTTATCATTCATCCTTAAATGAACTGAAGTCTAATTTGTACTTCTCCATCTGCGTCGGGACGGACGCACGCAAGGCCATTATCCGTCCTTTCAATGGCTCTTGGACAGGCTCGACTGAGTCGAGCTCTCTTCTCTAAACATCCGTCCGACGAGACGGAGAATGCAAACTTGTGATTGGTCAGGACGCTGCTGTCGACTACAGCGCCGCCGTTGTGCCCTCAAACATGAAGAGAACTGAGGATATCTATTGGCAGACACGAAGCAGCTTGACGAATACCTCCCAGAGAAACTCAAAAATATGAATGTTTTATTCACCCGTGACTGGAGAAATAAAAAGATGCACAGTGTTTTATTCATGGACGGAAATAACAGGAAACGTGTGTTTAGAGGTGGCGGGCGCATGAAGAGATGGAGGAAAATGAGGGACAAATTTGTCCGTGTTAAAAGGTCTCTTAAATGCAAAAAACACAATATAAACACACTATCTTGGACCAGATACATGACAGGATACCACAGAACAGTGCTACGCCCTCTGCTGTCCGGGTGGGGAATTGCTTTGCCACACTCCCCAGGAGACAGAGACGTATGAAGGCAAATTGTCTTGGTCTGAGCATGCGTGTCTCTCCCTGGTGTAGCTGACGAAGAAGTATAGATTAGGCTTAACTGTGATTGGCTGTGGCAAACATCTAAAAAGAAGTCGACCCACAAGTTACTTTGTTCTAGATGTAGACCCAATAGAGCTTCATTAAGATTCGTCCAAAGGTTTGTGAGATATTTTGCTAAAACTTTGGATACATCAACAAGTGTCCAATAGATGTCTGATGTGGTTTTTCAGTGCAGCCGTCCAACTTTTTAATGAAGCTTGTCATTAAAGCAGTAAACAGAAAATCCCAAAGCTTTTCTTTAATCCTAAAAGGAAAAACATGTACAAATGTGGTGATTTCTGCTGTGTATACAGAAACACAGTGAAAGGCTGCCAACAGGCGAGATGGATTTCAAACATTGATTATTCTGTTTTTCAGTCCAACAAGTCACCCAGGTAGCATGCTTCACTGATAAAACTGACAGCAGAACTCTCCGAGGCATCAGAATTTCAATAAAAGCTGAACCCCAACAAAATCCAATACAAGCGACTGAGTAAAGATGTCGAGTGTTGTTCCTGTCCTCTTTTGTGTGGTTTGGAGCAAAACAAAAACATCTCAGATGTTCTTCTTGACCAAATGAAGGCTGATTTCCTCAGAGGTGACAGTTTTGGCTTTGTTTTTTTCTCCCGCTTCTCTTTTCACCAATAAAAGAAACCTCTCTGAGATGGTGACAAACAATATTTGGGAGTCTTTTAGAGCAAAATATCTCAACTTGAAAAGCTTGTTCTGTGTGCAGATTTATCTTCAAGGGAGCCTAAATATTACAGAACCAGACAGAGCGATAACATACTCTGGGCTCTGGGCTGACCCATTTGGCAGCTCCAGAAGAAAAAAACCACAGCTTCATTACTGGGAACAGTAATAATAAAAGACAAAAGTTAAAGGAAGAATAAAAATGCACAGCACACAACTATGATGGTTATAGAATGTCAAGCACTATCTGCACCCATGAAGGCATAATTACACATGTGCAAAGAAGCAATAAGCGATTTATTTCCTCTAGCATGCAGCTACTCAACTCTAACTTCTGTCATCCTTTATATTTTGCTGGCGTTCGCATCCTGCAGGCTAATTAAGAAATAACTCCAACACTTCTCACTAACCCAAATAGGCATGACATTTCATTATGAGAGCTGGTGAAAACAAGTACATGCGGTTCAAACCAGCAAGCCAAAAACAAGCTTCAGTTTCGGTTAACAGCTTCTAGGAATGTAATCATCGACTAACCAGAGGTGAAAGCTTTGCCAAATGTCTCAGCATTTTTATGCAACAAGCATTAGACAGCACCGACATGAGAAGTGAAGGTTCAGAGCTAAAGGCTGCAAAAAAAAAAAAAAAAAAAAAAAAAAAGAGACCCCGTCAAACTCAAGTCTAGAGAAAGCAGCTATTCTGGCATAAAATCTAACTTTTTATACGTTTTGCAATGCAATTCCTCCCACACGTTTTGCCAGATGTGTTTATTCGGTGAGAGAGGGAGAGGTGTAGAGTGAACTTACTCGCTGGGGCGCAAGAGTGCCGTCTTGCCCAGGCGTAGGATGACGGCACCTCGAGGGCTGCGGATCTTCTTGACATTTGTGTCCTTCAGCAGGGAAAATCGTCTCACCAGATTAAAACCTTGCACCGAAAAAATAAAAAAAAAATCAATAGCACAGAATGTTTCCCATCAGTAAATTATTTTATACTTGTCTTCTTTTCTTTACCAGTAATATTGACCCTGGATGATTGGGGGAACCTCCAGTCAGCCACTTGTAAAGGTGGACAAGACGCACCTGAGGAAACAAAGGACACCAAACAGGAATGAGCATGAACAGAAGCTAAAACCAAATGGTCAGCATTCACCAGACATAAAGAAGTTATCAGGGAACGTATGTCTAATGATACCCAAGACACTTTTCATTGAGTGAAACGGACAAAGTTTGTGCACGGGCGCATGGAAGAGAAGCAGCGACTTCAAACATTTGATGCCAACGGAAATATTTATCTGAAAGAAAGAGAGAGCTGGTTGGGGGTGAAAGGGAGTTAAAAGATTTGTAAAACCCAGACAGCAAGATGAAATGAGGGCATGGCCGTGCAGAATGGAACACAACCCGATCTGACAAGTGGTCTCACACCATGCTTGTCTGTCACGCAGCCTCATTTTGATGGATATGTTCTCACCCTGTCAGGGGAGGTTGCAGAGTAAAGTGCTGCCTGTCAGAGCGGGCTGCCTGGCTGCAGGGGGGAGAAAGATAAGAGATTTTTGGAAAAACCAGACTAGTACAGGTAGACATGAACCCCATGAATCACTGTGATCCACAGTTAACTGATCTCTTTGGGGCCAAGGACCATGGCCCCGAGCAAAACGGTGCACTAAGCAGGTCTTTTTTCCCCAGTTTTATTTTTTCCAGATCATCTGGGGACAAGTTGTGTCCTGTAAGAAGCCTAATGAGACTAAATAAATGTCTGTGAATTGGATTCCCAACTATATCTACGTATAGCTTGTAAAAAAGAAAGTCCCATTTAAAGAGTTCCCTATTTGAACATTTCTGTAAACATAAAATAAAATCAAGCTTAGTCAAAAATAAAAATATCAAGAACCCATTAGCCTCAAAAGCTACTGCCTATTAGTGAAAATTAGCTGAAAATAGCTTTGATTAAATCTGCATACTTTGGAGTTCCCATATCCCCAACCAGGGGGTCAGGCAGGGGTGTCTCACAATCCACCGACACTACTGTTGTGATCGATGTAATGGACGCCCCGCAATAAAGGGTTTAAGTTTGTGTAATTCTCTGTACTTCAAGTTCAGATGTTTTAGAACTCTCTCCTGTTAAAGAAGTACTTCAGTGGGTTAGCAAGCAGCCAAAAGGTGCAGTTCTGGCTTAACGTGAACTTTAAAGGGACTTTACGGAGTTTAGAATTTTTATGCTCGCGATTGCCCCCTCAGGCCAGAAGGGTAATGGCAGCTTCCATAGTAGGCTCGTGCACGAGGCGTGCATGCTGTACGTGCACACACCTTAACGAAAATAACAGCTGAGACAGTCTTGTGTGTGTGTGTGTGTGTGTGTGTGTGTGTGTGTGTGTGTGTGTGTGTGTGTGTGTGTGTGTGTGTGGCCCGGAGGACAGAGGACAGGAGAACACGCAGCTAATTAATTAAATATTTGGGTTCTGTACCTTTCTCTTCAGCACAGCCGACAAATGTTTATGATGGGTCAGTCTTCCTGCATGCTCGGACCATTCCCTTCCCTTGCTTGAAAAATTGTTCCAAAATGAAAGTTGAACCCACATCTTTTTATCTGTGGATTCAATGCCATTTGGCGAGTCTCAAATAAAAATATAAATATACCATTATAAAAAGTATACCTTTAATGTAAAAAAATTTGTTTTATTGCTAATTTGCAGGAAATATCTAGAAGAAAATAGCTAAGGGTCCTCAGAAATGTAGCTAGGTTCATCACTAGGCGTTAGGAACAGCGACAAAGTTGCTGAGTTGGCACTCCCTCTCTCTCTGCTGCTAAAGCTACTGATAGCAAATGCTACGGGCTATGCCTGAGCGTGAACGCGCATGAAGCAGCCTGCTCGACCCGAGCAGCTCTCTTTTTCTGTGATTTTACAGAAAAACAGGCAATCACAGTAAAAATGCCAGGGCTCATTCTACAGGACCAGGGCAAGTAATCGCTTAGGGGAACGATCACCTTGAGTAGTGTTTGGCAAGTTACTATGAAAAAGTTATTAGTCTTAGTTACTAAGTACTGCTTCAAATGAGTAACCAAGTAAATAACTGAGTTGCAATGTCATGAGGGTAAATAACTGCCAGGAAACGTAACCATATCGATACTTGTTAATACAGATGCACAAAACTTGCTACATCTACGATAAATTACTATAATACAAAAAAAAAAAGACTGAATTGACTAAAATGACTAAAATGTGTCCAGTTTTATTCTAAAGCTGAATAAATGAAATTAATCATCTGAACAATTTAAATGTCTCTAAAAATACAATTTATGATTACAAATGACATTTGATAAAGATTTTAGTAGTTTACCTCTTTAAACAGAAATACTGTTGGTAGTTTTGGTCTGTAAATGAGACCGTGTTTTGAATGAGATGTTTTATCATCATCTAGTAACATCATAACTATAAATAAAAGTTAGCTAGTTCTAGTAACACCTGAGCTCCGTGACATCTTCTGACTGAATCAGTGCTACAGCGGGACTAAGGAAATGATCAGGAACACCCAATTGTTCCAGTGGATGAAGATCTAAGTAGATTGTGATGAATGAATGAATGACATTTGAGTAGTGAACAGGTGAGTGGATCTTCCTTACATGGGACTGTACATGTTCTGTTAATGAATATTGTAGTTTTACTAGATCAGCTGTAAAAAGCAAGTAGTTAACCCTTCCACTGTCCTCATGGGTGACCCCACCAGGAAAGTTGACCATTGAGCAGGGTTCATGGTTCATCCCTTGAGGTCCAAGTGGCAGGGGTGAGGAGTGAGCACCGCCTCACTCCTGCCACTTGGACCTTAAGGAATCTCTAATTTCCCTCTGGGATTAATAAAGTGTCTTTGAAATGAATTGAATTGAATTGAATCACAAACCCTGCTCAATGGTCAACTTTCCTGGGGGGGTCACCTATGAGGACAGTGGGAGGGTTAACGGAATTTGAAGTGGTGTCTATCGTTGGCCATGTCCACCAAAGAAGTCAAAGAGTTTCCTTTAATCCTTCACAATAAGAGTCTCAAACACATAAATGTTCCCCCACGACATCTCAAGCTAATAAAAAAAATGTGTTATTGTACTCTGACACATGTAAACTATATGCTTCCGATGTTCTGGAGGATGTTTTGCACTGGTGCCATGCTGAAGGGAGGTTATAGGTTCAAATCCCACCTGCACGGCCCTTCTGCAAGGATCTTGTTTTCCCCGTGGAAGCTAGGGTGTTCTACTCGTGTCAGGCTGATTGGTTACTCCACGTTGTTCCTAGGTATGAGTGAGTGGATGGTTGTCCATCTCACCATATGTGTCCCTGTGATGAATGAGAAATGTGTCCAGGACGTCCCCCACCTCTAACCTGAAGACTGCTGATAATAGACACCAGCTCCACATGACCCCTACAGGAAAGGATTTGTTTAGGAGATGAATGGATGCCACGGATTTAAGTGTCCATGCACTTTTTTCCTCATTTTGATGGATTTTGTGAATGTCTTCTCCACCTAGGTTTTAGTTTATTGTGCCTAAAATGCAAATGCATGCTGGGTGCTGTTAGTGTGTCCATGTCAGATGATGACCTTTAACTAGAGGTTGCCTGTGACATGCTAGAGCTTCCGTGTCACAGGCGTTGCCATGGCAACAAAGCCCTCTCTGTGCCTCTGGCAGCTGGGATGCTACAAACAGTGTGCCACACACTCACTTAGTAAATGCCACTGACTATTTACTGGTCTTTTCCCAACCTTTGGTCTACAGATGTCTGAGCACTTGGAGCCAAATTATCAGTTTCCAAAGTAATCTGAATTTAAACATATCCATTTATTTTCAGGTACTTTTGGAACAGATAAGGGACAAACAGTCTGTGTTATTTGTGAAATTATAGCTCTGGTGAAAAGATGTTTAAGGATAGGTCTTGTAAATAAATAAATACACAGTAAATACCAGTTGACATTTTTAGTGTGGATGAATTAAAGTGTAGGAATAATTATTTATTTGTTAATTTATACATTTTACAGCTGCTGATTGTGTTTTGATTTGAAGAGAAGAGGCAGGGAGTGGTGATCAGACCATTGAGAAGGTAAATAAAAAGATAGATCTCAATGATCATGCTCCTTTACATGTTAAAGAAGCATGTAGAAGGGAATTAAATGTAAAAGAAATACACCAACATGCACCCTGGTGGCTGGTTGCAGTACAGGTTTAAGTCCTGCCTGACTTTTACATTTATAAAATTGATATAGTTTTTCTTGGTTCCACTTAGAACAGACCACTGGTGTCCTAAGACAGAGCACACACACACACACACACACACACACACACACACACACACACACACAACATATATACCATATAATATATATATATATATATATATATATATATATATATATATATATATATATATATATATATATATATATATATACCAACATATAAGTAATGTTTCCATGGTTACATTGTGATTACTTAGTAATTATTCTATTTGGTGAGAGATAAACTTTATTGTATTTATCCTAGTGAATTTATAATTAAATGGGTAAACTAGTAGTAGCACATTCAATGCCAAATAAAGTAAAAATCAGGAGAGGGAGAATGTTTAAGTGGTTAGCAACAGTGTTCAAGCCGATGGCCCCCTCCATGAGGCTACCACAGCTCTGCAGAACACCACTGTAGCTTCTTCTGGGGAGAAAAACTCTTAGACAAAAATAAAGTTAACAGCTGAAATAGCAGGAAATAATACAGTTAAAGAGCAGATTGTAGAAGAAAGTAGTCGAGTGTGGAAAGTGGTCAGTATGTCCTCCAGCAGCCTAAGCCCATAGCAGCATCTATCATAGTGAGGACCATCCATTGACTTCCATTCATGTTTGTGATTGTGTTATGCCTAACCCATACCCTAACACTTACCATAACCAATGCTGATCTTCTCCTAACCCTAACTAAAACTTATTTCACACCATACGTCTAAAACCAACTGATGAGCTTCTTCTGGGGAGAAAAACACTTAGAGAAAAAATAAAGTAAACAACTGAAATAGCAGGAAATAATACAGTTAAAGAGCAGATTGTAGAAGAAAGTA